AAAGACAAAAAATTCTTCCAAAAGTTTTCCTCATATTCGTGGGAAGCAATCTCTTCATTGAGGTAAGATGAATTCATTCTGTTTCGTTAAGGTGAGGAAGGACTAATAGTTGAATTTGTACCTAATGCTATGAGTAGAATTTATGCATGAATGGAAACGAAATACCTACTCATATCATTGTTTGACAATTAAAATATCAGTCTTTCCTCATCTTAACAAAATAAGGCTGATACATCTCATATTGATGATCAAATTTTAGTTTCGAAAACCGATTTATAAGCGAAAAATCTCTTCATTCACGAGCTGTCTGCTAATACCGAAGAAAATAAAATGGTTCAAGACACAGAATATAGTCATGGTACTTGCCATGATAAGTGACGAAATAATTGGTCTTACATAAAAGATTATTTGATCGCTTACTAGTCGATTTGAGGTAAAGGAAGCAGTCCCATTTGGCAAAATAGTGTAGGATGGAGAAACGGGAAGATGTCACAGGCCACAAATGTATGAGTTTACACTAGCACACAATATTCATTATTACTCCTTTCCATGAAAAGATCCCGCAAGCTCAAGATTTAGGGTAGGGTTCATTCTTTATATCAACGCTGTATAGACACAAAGACTTCCCGTTTAAGGTCGAAATCTTTATTATCATCTAATCAAAGTTACATATGTCCAAATAAATATAGGGTGAAGGAATAAATACGAAAAGTTCAACCAGCCAAATATAGAACTATATCAACTAGCTATATTAATACAGCTAAGGGATATAATCGTGTAGGAAATTATCTCTTGTTTTAATGATTCCTTGTGTAGGACAGAACAAAGCTCTTAACAGATTTACCAGCCTCAGAGCATGAAGAACTGAGGTAATCATCATCGTAACTCTGCTTATATATACGAAAAATCATAATCTTAGTCTACTGTCACCATTAATTGGTCTGGCGAAGTGTAATTTCATTAATTAGGCCTCCAGTAAAAATGCTCTAAAAAGGGCAAAAGCTCAATTCGTGCTTCTACCATATAGAACAAGTCAAATGGGATTACAGCTTTTGAGCTGAAGTGAGAGAGAGAAAAAAGAAAGAAGCAGTCGTCAAAGCGAAAACCGGTACCCTCACTTCATTTTCAACCACTTAACTTCAATCCACATACTATGCAAATTTTCCCCATCACAATCTGTACCGACTTTCTCAATTGTACACCACTCACCTCCACTCTACTCTACTTTGCTTTGCTCTACCCCACTTCAACCTTCATTACCGTACCCTACTTCCCTCCACCCCTCTATTCAATATCTCTAATTCATTACACCCCACTTCACTCTACTCCTCATTGCTCTTCTATATCCCCCCCACATTTCCCCCTTATTATCCTCAATACTATACTGAATAATTGAAATAATTTGCATGCCTTTTAAATTAGAATTCTATTCCGTTTTCAAAACTTGTCTATTGAAACGGAGTCATTTAATGATCATACCCCTAAATGGGATATATCTCATTATAGTCATATCCCCTTCAGGAATCACATGCTAGGGTTGGTAAATATACAGTTTTTGCTGGCATCCAAGTCCATATTATTCATTGCAGAATACTAGCCTAAAATGTAATAGGAATTGCTTAGATCGATGGAGTCATGGTTTTAGAACCATGAATTCTCAGCTCTCTTACGGCATTAGTAGTAAGACAAAGTTAAGCACTTTACCGTGATGACAGTCCCACCACAGAATGTGACATGGGAAAATGCCTGGTCTTCCCTGAAATTCACGTCTGCCATGTGGCGTAGTGGTTAACGTGTCGGGACTATACGCTATACTGTCATGGTTCGAGTCTCGCAGGGGTTTTGACAGGCGAGGCCGAAACTGCAGTCCACATCTTCCGGTGAGTTTTCTTGACTCGTTAACTTAAATTTTGTTGTGACGATGATACCTTGCTCTGATGATATTCGTTACATGACGGACGAAAGCTTAGCACCTTTTCACCGGAATCGAAGGAGATTGCCTCGGAAACGGCGTCAGCATGAATCTTCCAGTAAAGCCAATCGACAGCTGGTCAAGAAGAATCAGTCGTCGTCTACTGGTGGAACCGACTTTCGAATCTCTTCACCCAACACTTTCACTAGAGATGAAAGTAAGCTCAAAAATTATGAAACAAGAGCTTCCTCGAAACCCAACTTTTTTTCGCATATATCACTTAGTTAAGTTGACCATGAAAGGGTCAGAAGATCAGATGAATCTGATTGGTTGAATCGAGTCATTCCTCGTATTAGTTACAGATAGATCAACTAGCAACCATTATTGCACTTTTGCTCTAGACTATTTAATTATATTATATTAAACTTGCTTCGATGACCGAAGCACATGTTTCGTCAAAATCAATAGGGTGTGTAAAGTTATCTGGTGCCCCAAAGCATATCTCAAATACATCCTCAAAAAAAAGGATAGAAGTTCAACAGTGGTCAGAGCATATGACAAGAGAAATTATTGAAAGATCTGAAAAGAATCTGGATCCTTTAGGGCTCACGTGAAAGTGCCTGAACATATTGGAGAGCGTTGAGGTATACCAGCTATTAGAAGAGTCATTAACAGCTGAATTTCTAAGGAATGCTGGAGGGAAAAGGACAAAGTCCCTTTGTCCAAAAAGTTTAGATGCATGTGCATACGTTTGCTGGTCGTTGAAAATTGTCGAATTTATTATGATTCCCTAGAGAACATAATCTCTCTATGATGAGGCTAGTTGTCTAGACAGCACTCGAAAATGAGCGAGTTAGGAATATCTTCACTAGGCACTTGCACAGGGAATGAAAGTCACTTGATAATTGAAACATTTTTCGTTTATCTGTAGGTTTTTGAGAGCAGTTCAATGAACTATATTCATCCTATTTCTTTTAATGTGATAAGAAGACTGGTAGCTGAAATTTTCCCACAATGCTATGAGTACAACTTGCATTTCCACTAAAGTTCACATAGCCTTGCTTACCGAAAGTTATTCTTATCCAGGGCTGTCTGCAGCTTCGACTTCGCCTAGGTCTTATCAACACCCCGGCGGGACTCGAATCATGACAGTTCAGCGTTTAATTTAGACACGCTACCCACTACGCCACATTGTCACGAATGCTTTGGAATCATGGGGCAGATGTTTATTTCCCATATCGTATCCCGCGGTGGGATTGTCGATGAAGCAAAGTCTACTCATACCATTCTAGGAAAATTGCAACTACCAGTCCCTTTATGAACTTAAACGAAATAGGGTGAATACACGTCATATAAATGATCTAATGGCAGTCTCAAAAGCCTACTTATAAATGAAAACAAGTAATCTAGTCGATTGTAATAGCAAATACAACTTTGCTTTGATGACAATCCCACCACAGAATGTGACATGGGAAAATGCCTGGTCCTCCATGAAATTCACGTCTGCCCTGTGGCGTAGTGGTTAACATGTCGGGACTATACGCTATACTGTCATGGTTCGAGTCTCGCAGGGGTTTTGACAGGCGAGGCCGAAACTGCAGTCCACATCTGCCCGGACGAGAATACCTTTTGGGAAAGAATATTATGCGAAATTCAATGAAAAAATTAAGGTCTACTCATATGATTGTGAGCCAATTTCAGCCACCAAGTCCCCCTATTATCTTAAACGAAATAGATTGAATATACTGTTTTAGACTTGATCAGTTTTGGTTCACTGCATGTACAAGCCTACTCGAGGTCATTCAGGACATAAAAATAGGTTGAACAGTTTAGGTAAACTTGCCATCGATCTGGAGTTGTCACCGTAGCCCCAGAGACTGCTCATTCCAAAAGTGAGGGATTGTCTTTGCATGTAAAGCCAAAGCAAAGCAAAAATACAAGTTCCATCTGGACTTGTTGATGCGCTACAAAGTTGCTCATGATACATCCATCAAAGTGTTCTTCTATGCATTGTAGCCAATAAAATTGTAATGGCCCTTTGTTAAAAGATTAAGTGATTTTCGCTTAAAGTTGCAGGCACTGATAGTTGGACTGCCCTTGAAAGCTCTCCAAAGAAAGGCTGTCTCATGTGCTGTAGTCAACTCGATCCTGCGTCATGTCCAGAGCCTTGAAGACCACACTTGCCCCACAACATGCGCCTCTTGCTCCAGCCACCTTCATAGAACTGGTAGGGCCTCCTCTTTTTTTGGAGGCTTTCTCAACATTCAAATATGCTGGAGCCATGGCGACAGTCAAGCATGCATGTGCCCGTTACCCAGCTTCCGTGAAGCCGGTCTTCATCGAACTATGCCTCGCAACTCACATCGAGTACACCGTTTGCGCATGGCATCAGTGTTGTTCTTCAACAGCGCTAACGTGTAAAATAGATCTTATTGTACACCACGTCGGAAACGTACTTTGGGCAATATCGGCAAAATGGGAAAAAGTAAACAATTTGTATGGTTGGTGTGCTCATGCAGCCAACTGGGCCATCAGAAACGAACAAAGCCTTAAGCATGAATAAGATATCGCTGTTATGCATCAGACGGCAACATGCAGCGGGATGCTGCATTCTGACCTGTCCCATCAATCGCATACCGAGCAGTGAAGGTCGCAATGGTTGACCAGGTATCGGACATCGGCTGAGGCCATGACTGAAGGCATTAGAGCCTGTGTCACTGTAGGAAGTGTGCGCCTGTCTGACAATTTGGCGTTCGACTCAAACGGGATTGCGTAGATGTTGGCCTATGATAATCCAAGATGTCTGTCACTCCCATTCCTTGGCTCAAAATGAGTAGTGTCCCAACACCACGCAAACCGGCTGCTGACTACTTTCATCGGTTCAGCTCTTATCCACCTCCCTGCCATTTCGTTGCCTGCCAAGCTGCACACTCTGAATGTAATTATCATTCCCTTGTCTTTGATAAACTGGGCGCATCTCCCCTACCTTCCCTACCCCTCTCCTCTCAGCTGACCTTCACTCACCTCCACACTCGTCTGAAATAACCCCATCTACTTCACATCGGTCTTGTTCACGAGCTACGCCTCGTTTTTATTTCATTCAAACTCACCTCTACAGCAAATTTCGCATCACTCACTTCCTACTTCCTATCCCTCCCTCGTTTGAATTCCACCTCGCCACACTATACCAAAGTACACTACAATCCAATAAGCAACTCACATTCCACATTACTTTAATCCAATCCATTCCACCTCCTTAACTACATACCATTGCATTATTTACCTAACCCTCTCCAATGTGCTCCATACTAATCC